AGCTTGGGTATCACGTGTATTGCACAAACCGCAATACATATGGAATTCTTGGAATCTCTATTACAGTTAATACCCAGGCTAACAAATTTGGGTAGGTGGTTGATTAATGCTATTTACTGGTGAATAATTTAAATGAAGAAGGCATGTAGAATTTGTAATTATTTGTCTCTTTTAACCCATTAACGCCGGTATATTTTAAAGTCGAAAATAAAAGATTCTGGGCGGCTACAAAATCTGCTGCCCCGGACTCTGCCCGCCTGCTGCTGCGTCAGAGTTTCAGCCCCGATACAGCGTCAATTGGCGGGACGCCCGGCAATGTTTATTTTTTCGGGTGTTTCATATGTGGGACACCCGTCGTTAGTGGATTAAGACATATAATATTTTGATTATATTTAGAAATTACGTGTTGAAATGGATGAAAGGTTAATGTTATTTGAAGCCTCGTGGTAGTAAGTTATTTCCAGCACATAATGTCTCCTGTGATGCTATATATAACATTAGTATTCAGTGAAACAGTGTACTATTATGCAATGAAATTGAGTACTATTGCATTAGTTAATCTTAAGTGATAGAATTTCACACTTCATATTATTATTACACGTACAAGACCAAGATCATCATTATGACTTTTCTTTTTGCAGGGTACAGCACGTTGATGAGAGGATAGAAGCATTCCTTAAGGAGTTCTTGAATACGGTGAGAAATCTTAGCAGTGAAGAATTATCAAGTCTGAAAGATACCCTTACCTCTATGAAGCAGACAGTTGATCTGACACTCAGAGAAGAGGTGGATAGGAATTGGGGAGAGATTACTGATGGAGAGTATCTCTTTGACAGACTGCAAAGACAGGTATGGACTACTGGTTCCTTTACTTGTCTCGGAGTAGAATAGATGTCATTGTTAAGTTATGACTGGTTAATCATTCTAAGTTGAGGCTTGTAATGCTGTTTTTACAGAGGATAGAAAAAGTGTGAATATAACCTGTAAAGGAAAAGGTAACGGTAATCTAATGAAAGTCATATCCTATCTTCCAAAGATTGAATTAATAAAAGACATCACACGAGACTCTGTAGCTGAGTGTCTGGAAAGTCTGGTGTCCAGCAAGACTAATAAAGAATATAGGAAGCTGACAGTACAGGTTGTTGGGGCATCCAACCCAGAAGATGGAACACCACCTGCACTGGAAGGCTTGTTAGGTTGGTATCTGTAGTTTAGTTTATTATTTCTTCCAATATAGATTGATTTACTTGAACTGTATTTCCTTTTATACCCAAGTGCATTATTTACTTATCAAAATTAAAGTTTTGACAGTCATATTTCTTGATAATTTTAATGAATATGTTTCATTGTGTTAATACAATATTGTTAATATGACAATTTACATATTTTCCATATGAATGTATGTGTCTGTTTAACAGGAGAAGACAATGTAGTGAAGTTCCTGGGACCATGTGATAAGAGTGCTGTGAAAGACTATCCTGCTGAACAATTTATTACAGACATTGCCAGCTTCAAGGAAAAACTCGAACCATATCCAGTAACCAAGATTGTTTAACATTCAGTGTAAGGATTAGGTGATGTGCATTTTCATTAGATTATATTAGTCCCCATGTATCTTGTGGAAGTGTAGGCCTTTTCAATACTGAATTTTGATTGATGAGGTGCATTTGAAGTGCCTGACGTAGACAAAGTTATGTAAAAGGTATGTGATTTATATTATTTTTATTTATTTTTATTTTTTTTTTAGACTTTCTGATGGAGAAATAGAGGTAGTGAATATTTTTTATTGATGGCATAATTTGAATTGAAAATACATCTTGTATTTCATATTTTTTCATTCATATGTTTCTGTGATTAGTATTGTGATTAATGCTTTGAACTTGCGGGTTCCCAGATATTGGTTTCTATGTAAAACAGAACCAAAGATCTGTGGAAGATGGATTAGTGATTATGTTATAACAGCCTGTTATAATAAGAAAAATCATAAAAAGTTGTGTTCTAAAGGAAATATGTCACATTTCTGCAATGTGAAAATATTCATAATCTGCAGGAAGTGTTTCAAATTTAAAGGCATTCAGAAACTATATATAACCGTTTTTCAAAAGTATCCAGTACTGTAAACAGGTATATCTTTTAGGCCTACAAAGGTATAAGTAGTGTATATCAAAACTTGCATGAAAAATAGACAAACAATGTAATGTAATAAAAAGAAAGAAAATTATATTATATGGTGTTGGAGTGTGAAATTTATTGAGTACCATACTTAAGCACAGAAAATCAGCTAGATTCACATTATACTCATGAAAAGTAAATGTATATCAATAGATGCTGGGAAATGCATGTGTTTTTCAAGTGTGATTTGAAAAAATAGCATAATGTGCTATACAATTATGTTAGTGAATGGTACTATATGTGAATAATAACACTGGCTTGTGTAAGACAGTTGTGTTTATCTATCCCACAAGGAATTGTAGTAAGAACCCAGATAAAGATTCCAGATAATGAATATAAAAATATAGGAAAATGAAATTTAATAAAATTTAAATATGTTCCTAGAACAATTTTGTTACTTAAGAGCTAATTTCATGACCATTCATGATGGTGGAAATGCAAGCATACTTCAGGAAATTACTGAAAGCTTTGACATTTATGGATGAAAAGGTCTGTGTTGACACCTGATGAATCCCTGTACTTAATTAATTAGCACCTTGTTTTATGTATTGCATGAAGTGTGGTTGTTCCAAAGCATTTTTTACAACATATGTAAATATGTATAAAACATGGGAACATTATTTATTCTAATTTAGATTGTTTTAGAGGAAGACAGCAATCATTCTTCTGAGCTACTCAGATTCTTACTGAAGCATTTGAATGATAAATGCCCTTGTGTTGAAAAAAAGGATTCAATTTTATTGCTGTTGTGTCCAAGTCAGTTCCATGCAAATGTAAGCCACTTTTTGTGTTGTTTTACTGTAACTACTATTGTACTGTAAACATGTTTCATTTGCATTACTAATGTGGAATGTTCCTATAAACTAACTGCTTCTTTATACATCAAATATCAAGAGAATGAAGACAAATAAGTAAGAGGTGTAAGAAGCTGGTCTTCGTAATCAAGCTTTTCTTTTATATATGTAATCCATCCAAAAGAATTCAGAATTTGCAAAGCTGTCATGTCACAGCGATGATAGGAAAAAGTAAAAGATTTCAGTCCTTTGCTAGTTCCCCAAATCCACTTTTAGAATGTGTCTACCACACATTATTTTTTTCCATTTTCTATCACACAGTGCAATGGCAATCTTTCAATAGATCCTTTGTCTCTGAATGGATCAGTTCACCTCCAGAATCTGATACACAGGTCTCTGGGATCATGGCCAACCCACCCATAATTTGTCAATCTGCCAGTTACCTCTTTTGTATAATCCTTCTGACAAATTAACAAACCAAGAAACTAAGCAATTACCCAGTAAAGCAATTGCAAAAACATAGTTTCCCCTGGCAGTGAGGGTAAATGGAGAAGCTCTAGGCGATGGAGTGAGCTTCATGTGCTTGGCAACCTTTTATCAATTTCTCCGAATTATTCTTTCCATTGTACCTTTGGTTTAGAAAGAGGATTGAAACTTTGCAGAATTAAGGGAATGTGCATGTATTTATTTGGACTTTGCCAGCCATGCAGCAGTCAGATCATAATTAATACTGTAAGTTGTCTGTCTGGCTTGTTACCAATGAGGTCTAGTTCTAGGGCAGGGGAAAACATTTGAACTAACCCATGTGCCTGGATTGGTAACTGTTTTGTGTGGGCAGACTTTTTAAGATGAATTTGGGGGCAAGCAAATTCATATTCAGATATAAGGGTGTGAATTGCCTTTCAGGAAAAGAATGACAATATGTGTGTAAATTTATCAGATAGACAGGGATAAAAATACATTAAGATATTTATCAGTGATACTCCCTGTTTTTGTTGATTTTTAATGTCCAATTTGGTTCAAGTCAATAAAGAAATCAATACCTTTTTTGTTTCAAATCGCCATTTTTTAATATACTACTACTAAGAAGGCACAAGCCAGTATGTTAAATAGTATGAAAGTTACGGAAATCAAAAATACGAATACTGGAAATATGAAGGCAGTGGTCAGGGAAACCTTAAACACCTCATTTGGACTTTTTTTGTCGGTATATAGTATTGTTTTTATGCCTCCAGTTTACATGTGCAAAGCTTATTTTTTGTACTTCAAATTGTTAAATTCTGTACAAGTTTTTTATTGTTGGTTTGTTATATTCCTTTTTAGTTTTTCTAAAAATATAGCCATTTTGTTTTATAACAAAATCATGACAGGTTGTTTTTGCATAAAACATATGAATGCTTGATGCTAAGGGCTTTTCACTGATTGTAAACTTATCCAAAGCAGTCTTTAGAGTTCGTGCAGCTGTAAACTTGTTGACACTTCTTTACAAGGAGTCAGTAACTAGGCCTACTAAGGTTCCTGTTCATATGCCTAGTAATAAAATATAGTTTTAAAATAAATTATTTACATGTATTTGTTTTTTGAGGATTTATTCACAATTTCTTGGCCATTTGAGATTTTTAAACACAAGGAGAAAGTGATACAATATACCTCACGTAAAATATTCAGCAAAATATTTAATTTTCTTTCTACTGCAAATTGAAAGGTAGAAAAAAATAAATAGTTTTAATTAGAACATCACTTATTTTTTATTAGATAAGAAATATATGTATTTTACATCTTTTATTTACAGATATTTAACAAGAAGATTAAATTCTCTCAGATATCCACACAGCCGCTTTGCAGCCCATCTTTATGACGTTACTCATTGTTTTATATGCTGGTGCTAACTCTGCATCATGGGCTAAGCCAGTATCATGATGATCCATTTCATCATCTCTGAATTTTTTAATAACTTCAATCAGTTCTTTGTGTTCCTCTTCACCGTTGTGGATCAATTCACGAAGCTGAGAGTTATAATGGTCGGTAATTACTGATTCTACCGCCACAGTGCATGCCATTGCTGCTTCTTTGCCCAGTAATGCAGTACCTGGAATACAAAAAGAAAGACTTAAAATGCAAACTAACCACCAGGTATCTGAAATGATGGACAATGAAAGCCTTCCTTTCAGGCTTCAGGTCACTCTTGGAAGCGGAGAGAAGAGAAGGTCAAGGAGATGGGTGGAGGGGAATGGAAGAGTAATATGGGGAGGAGGAGAGAGATGTGAGGGGGTGATGAAGAACGGAAGAAGAACGAAGGAAATGGAAGAAGAAGAAGAAAGAGGAAAAGGATGGCAGAGAAAGAGAAGAGAAGAAAAGAAGGAGAAAGAAATAGAAAATAAGGCAAGATTAAAAAAAAAAAAAAATTGGAGGAGAGATTAACAACAATAATATGCTTCAATAACCTGTTAGATCTAGGATGAAATAATTTTGCCAAGGGGTGTTTAAAAAAGATTTTAAAATTTGGCTGAGGAGTAGGTGATGGAATGTCTTGTGAAAAAAAATTTGGCCAAGGGCGAGTGACATGAATGTCTAGTCAGGAATGCACAATACACTTGTAGTATGATTAATTCAGGAGGCCTTCAAGAAGGGGCTGTGTTCATCAGCTACTGCAGTATTTCCTTCAGTCCATAAGGATGAAGTTTTAGCAGCTGTTAACCATGCTGAGAGAGGGTATCTCCAGCAAGTACGCAATATCCACATACAGGAACATATCCTGACCACTATTGCTGGTATTGTAAGGTGAGTCTGCTCAATGAAGTCTATTATCATCTTGAAATAGCAAAAACAAATGACATAGATCTTGGATAATTCAGAACCTACAAAAACATGTCTGAAGAAAAAGGGGTAATGGCATTGCATAGAGGAAACGAGTCACGATACTGCACCGTGAGTATTTGTGTGGGAGGGCCCTACAAGCCACACACCTTGGAGTCGCTACTCCAGGAAGCCCAATGCCCAGATTTTAGGTACACACATACAGCACATGGCATCTAGATCCCATGGGATGATGATGATGATGATGATTGATGATTGATGATTGATGATGAATGATGATTGATGATTGATGATGATTGATGATGATGATGATGATGATGATGATTGATGATGATGATTGATGATGATGATTGATGATGATGATTGATGATGATTGATGATGATGATGATTATTACAAACAATAATAAAAAACAGGAATAAAAAATATAAAAAAATTATATACTTTATATATTCAACCATAATTATGAAGTCTCCCCCCAAAATTAAAGGAAACTCTTTTTTTAGGATAGAAAAATGGTAATCAAAGAACTTACCTGCACCTAAAGCAAAGCCTGCAACATTCCATATGGGTATAAGAACTGTTGGTCGCACTCTGTATTTTGGAATCAGTTCCTCGAATTTGGCCTTGTGTTCCTTCTCTTGATCCCACATATGTTGGATAACTGGTCCTACAAGTTTTGCCTTTGGAAAGAAAGGAAGGAAAGATTTATACATGCATTCATATCAAATTGATCACTGAAAAACATGGTAAAATGTGTCCAAATTCTCCAGTTGTTTCGTAGAAATCTTTGTAAAACTATTTTCTTTGTATAACGCTTACTAAATCTACTTCCTATTGTACATTTTAAACCAGGGTGGTCTAACTATGGGCTTGTGGGTAGATTGCCTGTGGCCTGTGAGCACTCATCTTCGAGAAACTGTAACAAGGAAAAATGATTTTGCTCAGTAAAAAAAGTGTTGCAATCATATAACAACTGCAGAGTTTCTGATGTAAGATTTGAGGGGATACCAAGTGGAAAGGATATCCTTCAAAAATTATTTTTCCATGTATCCTCTTCATGTATAGAATAATTCAATTTGTGTAAACAGATGAGAAGCTTGGGAGGGAATAAATCCCTCTTACTGTATCATAATGTCAAAAAAAAACTTTCTTTATAAGCTTTCCTGGAAGAAGAGAAGAAGAAAGGGAAGAAGAGGAAAATCAATATTATGCACTAATTTTCAATGTTTTTATTTTTTGTAACTCAGATGTCTAATTATCATCAAAATCCTTGTTCTTTATCTGTACTTGGCCATTTGTTGAAAAAAAAAAAAAAAAAAAAAAATGCATCTTACAAGAAGCTTTTTTAATAAATAAAATGCTAACAAAATGGTCATAAAGGGTTGACATCTTTATGTATTGCCTGGTTCAGCCTCCTCAAAGTTGTGCAGGCTAAACAGTTGTGTTTGTTGGCCCTGACCACAGTCATTGAGGAGAAATCAGGGCAAGTATGTCCAAAGGCAATCTCAGACCAACTGCCTGAAAATGCATTTATCTAATGTTTCTGTGATAACCTCTGGACATGCATGCCTTGATTTCGTCTCTCATGAATGGGGCCAGGCCAAACGAGCAATACAACTGTCCGTATGCAGCTTGGACTCAATCACATGTGACACAAAGGGGTCATTCCATCTGGAGGGTTGGTCTATCATGACATGTATGAATGATCCGCTGATAAAGGGTTACATATAAGTACTTGCTTCATCCAGAGTGACTTCCATTTATCTTTATGAATTCTGTATCTTCCCCTCAGGATTCTGTGCCAGTAGCACCTCTGGGTTTATAATGCACCCTGACATCCTTTTTGGAGGATCTATTAACTTAAGACCTAGGTAGCAGAATGACAACCTTTTGGACGCGTAAAAATTCTAACCCATGAACATGATTAGCAGTGTTTGTATCTATTATGGTCTACAGCCAATACTATGGGCAGGGTGTTGCAATTTGCCTCAGGGAATTTGTGGGTCTCTAACATTATGTCACAAAGAGCAATGGCAAGGAGAGTAAAAACATATGAGGTGGACTGAGTGTTTCTTATAAATGGGAGGAAGAATTTATTTATACGGGAAACAATGGAAAACCAGTGTTATATATATTTCTGATATCTTGCAATGGTCTTGGATTTTAAATGCAGATTTCTTCAACCTATAGTGAAGAAGTGACGAGTGGTGTGCAGAGAGGGGGGGGCGGAGAAGGGGCTTTGTTGTAGAATGAAGGGTATGTTGGCAATATTCAATATAAACACATCTGACTGTAATATCAAAATAACACATACCCAATACTGCCATCTGGCCTGCGTAAATACGGTCTGCTCCCAACTCTCCTGCATGGTCAACACGAATTATACGCTCGAGTGCCTGCCTGTTCCTTGCTGCTTTGGTGCTGTAGAGCCTCAGGCTCTTAGTTAAAGATGACTGAAGCATATTGAGAATCTGGAAAGAAATTAAAATGTTAGAAAATACTGAAAACAAATACACACAAAAAGTTTTATATTGTCTTCTTACTGACTGACTGGGAAAACAACACTAAAAGAGAGAGAGAGAGAGAGAGAGAGAGAGAGAGAGAGAGAGAGAGTGAGAGAGAGAGAGAGAGTGAGAGAGAGAGAGAGAGAGAGAGAGAGAGAGAGAGAGAGAGAGAGAGAGAGAGAGAGAGAGAGAGAGAGGAGAGAGAGAAGAGAGAGAGAGAGAGAGAGAGCGAGAGAGAGGAGAGAGAGAGAGAGAGAGAGAGAGAGAGAGAGAGAGAGAGAGAGAGGAGAGAGAGAGAGAGAGAGAGAGAAGAGAGAGAGAGAGAGAGAAATAAAATAAAGAGGACAGAGCTTATTGTTATATTATTCCTTTGCAAGATATTCTGTACTATGACCACAAAATGGAGTTATAAAAGTATATTTCGTTTTATCCGAGTTGTTCACCTACAGTTTCATGTCAGAGAAACGATGATGCATGGATTAAAACAGTGAAAAAAATGTAGTGAAAGTAAATCTTAATGGCTTCAATATATTTTCTTTTTGTGGGTGATTTTCATAATGGAGGCAAAAATAGATGTTGTGTTATCGAGCCTTACAATGAAAGATGGCGTCTACAGTGAATGCACGTACACTTGACTAGGATCTAAGAGGAAGAAGTTACGCTGAAAAAACATTTATGGAAAATAGGTATATTAAAAAAAGGGATATGCTGAAACCCAACATGATCTGAACATTATCTTATGATCCAATGAATCAATTTTTGTTTGTAAATTGTACAGAGAACTACAAATTAACTATGATACATACTGGGGAAGTAAATGACTAATAAAGTTTTCTTTACATAAAATAGTAATAATGATAGTAAAAGTAATGACATTTATAATTATTACCATACTCCTACTACTTCTATTAATGATAATAAAGAATGCCTTTTTTGTATTGTATAACTTGAAATTACTAAAGGGCCTATGTTCATCACAGCAAGACACTTAGTAACATCACTTGGCTGTTCCATCACAAGTTTTATGATAACAAAAATAAAGATTTTAAAACTGCACAATTATCATTAACGTCTTCCGCAGTCATTTTTTGATTTTGTAATAATTTTTACTTGTCTTAACCATAAACCAATAAACAGATCTTGTGTATAACATCTATTTTTATATATCATTGAACCAAACTGCCAACATAATAATAATAATAATAATAATAATAATAATAATAATAAATAATGTAATTCTGATATTAGACAACTGAAAAATCCTGTAAGTCCTGAGTTCCTTAATGAAAGGAACAGTAAATTTTATGCCGACGAAAATGCTGACACAAACTATATAATCAACATAGACAATAGATGTATTTCACAATACTTTTTCTCCGATTCCTTTTAAGTTGCCTTAGACGATCAAAAAATAAATAAACTGGTCTTATGCAAGAAATCTAAACTTATGCCTGCACCATACTTGCCAGCACCTTTATCACAAGAAAAGCAATATACATGTAAAATCTTGAGGTTAAATATGAAGATATTAACAGCATTTGACCATATATAAGACCCTAGCATACAGAACCCCAAAATGACAACCATTCCTATTTTCTGACAAATTCAGAACTCTGTTACCTTACAAGTGATTATACAAGATACATTTATTATTCTGATTATGGATAAATCCTTTGCTATCTGAATTAACCTTATATATTGCACTGTGGCTTATATCACCCACTTCCTATGCACTTGAAACACCTTATTGCACAAAATCCCACATAGGTCTCATGACTCACTTTCATGCCATAGACAAGTCATAAGCTAAAAATTGAGCTATATATTAGTGCATAGTTAATGCTATAGTTCCCCGGGGTTGACACACCAAGATAACGCGTAGATAGAGCGAGGAACAGGCTGGGAGTCAGGGACAGGAGCCCAACTCGCCTCAAAGTCTTCCTCGAACTGAACTGCAGTAGAGTTAAGTAACTCGGAGCCATAGAACCCGTAGGGGCGAGAATGCCATCGAAATCCTATAGGAAAACCGACCATGTGGCCCAGACCCCTTCCTCCCCCTGACCCCACAACCCCCTCCCTCAAGACCCTCCTCCAAACCGCCCTCCCCGCTTAGGAAAAGTCGCGAATCGGGGCATGAGAGCCCAGGACGCCCACCCGGAGACGACGGGCGTGCAGGGCGGGCCGCGGGCGTGCGAGGGCGG